ATCAGGCTTCACTGGTCCACCGCAGTCAAAGATCCGCGTGTCCGCCATTGTTGGTGTTCCCTTCTCTGGGAGCCGGAGATCAGCGGGACTTTAGCTACATGCTAAACCGATGCTAATGGAGTTTTTCTGTGCGTTTTCTGTGACAAAAATGCGGCTTGCCATCAGATTTTGCCGTGCCACCACAACCCCATCCTCTTGAACTATCTCAGTACTGAATGCTGCATTACACCAGCATGTCTTCTGTCATTGGGCAGTGTCCAATGTTGATTCTATAGAAAGGGTCAAAGGTGGACCTTTTAGAGTAAAACAATATACTTCCTGTTGTCAGGGGTAGTGGCTTTGGTGATGGCAGGAAATGTCACTGTCATTGTCTTGAGATTTGTGATGACACACACTAAGTTGGATATAGCTCTGATCATGTGTCTGCAAGTTAATAAACCAAGGACTTTAATGTAAAAAAATCAATGTTTGAGACCAAGCCCAAACTACACCATTAGTCCTTTTGAAAACTATTTAGACAACTTTTGATTCCCAATGGCTTATCAATTTTAGGTCATAGGCCTAAAGCCCTAGGACAAGTTAGTTAAAATATGATATGTGTTAAAAATGATGAAATGGCATCATCTGACCAACATGGCCAACTTCTTGTTGGTTTTGGAACATGGTTTCAAAATAAAGACACAACATGAGTGTCCTGAATTTCATAATCCTCAGTCGAAGCATGGCATAGAGCTGACTGCTGTAATGGTCCTCAGGAGCACTATATTAAAAACAGATCATGCCTATGGAAGATTCGTATAATTATCTGTTTGGGGTTGGATTAGTATAAATCACATTACATTTCGCGCAGATGAGATGTGAATTGAGGAAATTAGAGGCAAACGTAATTCCATGGTGTGATGCCTAAATTCGCTCCTCCTTGAACCGTCACCTTATCGTGGTGGAGGAGTTTGAGTGCCCTAATGATCCTAGGAGCTATGTTGTCTGGGGCACTTAGTGCCCCTGGTAGGGTCTCCCATGACAAATTGGTCTTAGGTGAAGGGTGAGACAAAGAACGGTTCGAAGGATCTTTCATGGCGGTTAAAACGAAGAGTCGGAGTACCCGGCCCGGAGGGTTACCGGGGTCCCACCCTGGAGCCAGGCCTGGGGTTGGGGCCCGTGAGCGAGCGCCTGGTGGCCGGGCTTTCGCCCATGGGGCCTGGCCGGGCCCAGCCCGAACCGGATATATGGGCTCGTCCAACTGTGGACCCACCACCCGCAGGAGGAACATGAAGGGTCCGGTGCAATGCGAATCGGGTGGCAGACCAAGGCGGGAGCCTTGACGGTCCAATCCCCGGACAAGAAAACTAGTTTTTGGGACATGGAACGTCACCTCGCTGGCGGGGAAGGAGCCGGAGCTTGTGGCAGAGGTTGAGTGGTACCGGCTAGATATAGTCGGACTCACCTCGACACATTGCATTGGCTCTGGAACCCGAGACCTGGAGAGGGGTTGGACACTCTACTTTGCTGGAGTTGCTCCGGGTGAGAGGCGGAGGGCTGGGGTTGGCTTTTTGTTAGCCCCGAAACTCTCTGCCTGTGTGTTGGGGTTTACCCCGGGGGACAAGAGGGTAGCTTCCTTGCGCCTTCGGGTTGGGGAACGGGTCCTGACTGTTGTTTGTGCTTATGGGCCAAATATCAGTTCAGAGTACCCACCCTTTTTGGAGTCCCTGGGACGAGTGCTAGATAGTGCTCCATCAGGGGACTCCATTGTCCTGCTGGGGGACTTCAATGCTCACGTGGGCAATGACAGCTTGACCTGGAGGGGTGTGATTGGGAGGAACGGCCCACCTAATCTGAACTCGAGCGGTGTTTTGTTATTGGACTTCTGTGCAAGCCGCAGTTTAGCCATAACGAACACCATGTTCGAACATAAGGATGCCCACCGGTACACTTGGTACCAGGGCAGCCTAGGTCACAGGTCGATGACAGATTTTGTAGTCGTATCATCTGACCTGCGGCCGTATGTTTTGGACACCCGAGTGAAGAGAGGGGCGGAGCTGTCAACTGATCACCACCTGGTGGTGAGTTGGATCAGATGGCAAGGGAACATGCCGCGTAGACCTGGCAGACCCAAACACATAGTGAGGGTCTGCTGGGAACGCCTGGCAGAAGAACCTGTCAAGACGGTCTTCAACTCCCACCTCCGGCAGAGCTTTGACCACGTCCCGAGAGCAGTGGGGGACATTGAGTCCGAGTGGGCCTTGTTCCACTCTGCGATTGTCGAGGCGGCTGTTGCTAGCTGTGGTCGTAAGGTGGCCGGTGCCAGTCGTGGTGGCAACCCCCGTACCCGCTGGTGGACACCAGAGGTTCGGGGAGCCGTCAGGCTGAAGAAGGAGGCCTACAGGGCGTGGCTGGTCTGTGGGTCTCCGGAGGCAGCAGACAGGTACCGGATAGCCAAGCGGGGTGCATCAGTGGCAGTTGCCGAGGCAAAATCTCGGGCGTGGGAGGAGTTTGGTGAGGCCATGGAGAAAGACTATCGATCGGCTCCAAAGAGGTTCTGGCAAACTGTCCGGCGCCTCAGGAGAGGAAGGTAGCAACTCGCTCACACTGTTTACAGTGGGGATGGGGAGCTGCTGACGTCAACTGAGGCTATAGTCGGACGGTGGAAGGAATACTTTGAGGAGCTCCTCAATCCCACCAATGCACATTCCGAGGAGGAACCAGAGCTGGGAGGCCTGGGGATGGACTGTCCGATCTCGGGGGCAGAAGTTGCTGAGGTAGTCAAACAACTACACAGCGGCGGAGCCCCGGGGGCGGATGAGGTTCGTCCTGGGTATCTCAAGGCTATGGATGTTGTAGGGCTGTCATGGTTGACACGTCTCTACAACATTGCGTGGTCATCGGGGGCAGTTCCTAGGGAGTGGCAGACCGGGGTGGTGGTCCCCATCTTTAAGAAGGGTGACCTGAGGGTGTGTTCCAACTATAGGGGGATCACACTCCTCAGCCTCCCTGGAAAGGTCTACGCCAAGGTACTGGAGAGGAGGGTCCGATCGATAGTTGAATCTCAGATAGAGGAGGAGCAATGTGGTTTTCGTCCTGGCCGTGGAACTGTGGACCAGCTCTATACCCTTGCAAGGGTGATGGAGGGGGCATGGGAGTTTGCCCAACCAATCCACATGTGCTTTGTGGATTTGGAGAAGGCTTATGACCGTGTCCCCAGGGGCACCGTGTGGGGGACGCTCCAGGAGTATGGGGTGGGTGGCTTTCTGTTAAGGGACATTCAGTCCCTTTACCAGAGGAGCGTGAGTTTGGTCCGCATAGCCGGTAGTAAGTCGGACCTGTTCCCAGTGAGGGTTGGACTCCGCCAGGGCTGCCCTTTGTCACCGGTTCTGTTCATCACTTTTATGGACAGAATTTCTAGACGCAGCCGTGGTGTGGAGTGTGTCGAGTTTGGTGGCAGGAGAATCTCGTCTCTGCTTTTTGCGGATGATGTGGTCCTCCTAGCTTCATCCAGCTCTGACCTTCAGCTCTTGCTGGGTAGGTTCGCGGCCAAATGTGAAGCGGCTGGGATGAGGATCAGCACCTCCAAATCTGAGACCATGGTTCTCGACCGGAAAAGGGTGGCTTGCCACCTAGGGGTCGGGGGAGAGGTCCTACCTCAAGTGGAGGAGTTTAAGTATCTCGGGGTCTTGTTCACGAGTGAGGGTAGGAGGGATCGGGAGATCGACAGGCCACTGCAGACGCCGAACCAATCCGTCGTGGGGAAGAGGGAGCTGAGCCAGAAAGCCAGGCTCTCGATTTACCGGTCGATCTACGTCCCAATCCTCACCTATGGTCATGAGCTTTGGGTAATGACCGAAAGAATGAGATTGCGGATACAAGCGGCCGAAATGAGTTTCCTCCGTAGGGTGGCCGGGCTCAGCCTTAGAGATAGGGTGAGGAGCTCGGACATTCGGGAGGGACTCGGAGTAGAACCGCTGCTCCTCCGGATGGAAAGGAGCCAGTTGAGGTGGTTTGGTCATCTGGTCAGGATGCCTCCTGGACGCCTCCCTGGGGAGGAGTTTCAGGCATGTCCTGCCGGCAGGAGGCCCCCGGGTCGACCCAGGACACGTTGGAGAGGTTACATCTCCAATCTGGTCCGGGAACGCCTTGGGGTCCTGCCGGAGGAGCTGGTGGAGGTGGCCGGGGAGAGGATGGTCTGGAGCTCCTTAGTTGGGATGCTGCCCCCGCGACCCGGACCCGGATAAGCGGAGGAAGACGACGACGAATCCACAAACCATTCTTAGGCAGGCACACACACACACACACACACACACGCACGCACGCACGCACGCATAACACATTAAAAGACCACAGTAAACACTAGGCGGAACTCAGATTGGACAGGTAATGGAAGACACGCCATCAAGGGAGCCTTCTGCCTCGACAGCAGCAGATCCACGGATCTTAGTGAGCCATAGTGCTTTGGAGTCCTCTTCAGACAGCTGAGATTCTAGTGGATTCTGAATTATTGTCCTAGACCGTCCCTGATGCTCACCCACCCACACATCCAGCTAGCGGTGTGGTTGTTCTCACCACCCTGGCCTCCCCATCAGGTGGTTTTAACTTCCACCTCCTAAAACTAACCCAAACCCTAACCAGCTGGAACTGGCAGCTGACACAGGAAAATGCATGTGTGAAACCACGATGAATACGTTTTTATCCTGCTCTGACAACGGTTGTGCTAAAACGTAATAAACAATAATTTATAAATAAACCTTTAGGTCGTTAAGTAGCAGAAACGAGATTTGAACTGGTTCTGCAGGGGTTCAGTTCAGTGCTTAGGTAGCACCAATCCACAGCACGCTTCATCTGGAGGCACTTTTTAAATCAAACATTACATTCGTGTGCATTGAGTTCAGCTCTGTGGGCCTAGGAAAGCCGGCAGATTGCATCGATCTGATCAGCTTGGTCTAAAATGGTTCTAGATCTGCTTTCTTGTGGACCTGGTGGTAAAATCTGGCCTGATGTTTGTGTTTCAGTTCACTCGGGTTTGGATCCCGGACCCAGATGATGTCTGGAGGGCTGCAGAGATCACCAAAGACTACAAAGAGGGGGAACCAGTTCTCCACCTGCAGCTGGAGGATGGGACGGTCAGTATCTTCAGCTTTTGATGAACTGTAGCTTTTAGTCTGTGGTTCAGGTTCCTTCTAGCATTTCAGATCTTATTCACCAGGCCATTTCCACAGATGAACTGTGACATGAGAGCGTCACCCTGAAAGGGTCTCCAGGGCACACGGGGAAGAACATGTTAGACAGCCACTCAGGTGTGGAGCTACAGTAGTCATCAGCTAGCCTAGCATGCATACGCGCTCTTACAGCAACCAGAGTGTCTAGTGGTGGTCAGACAGGCAGCCTTGCCTCTGTCAGACCACCCCAGGGCGGCTGTGGCTACATGGTAGTTCACCATCAGCGACAGTGAGTGAGTGAGTGAGTGAGTGAGTGAGTGAGTGAGTGAGTGAGTGAGTGAGTGAGTGAGTGAGTGAGTGCTGAAGTGCTGAAGTGCTGAATGAGTAGAATCTATTATGCTCCAGCTGCTTTTGAACGGGACCTTGGTGCTTCGGGCAGAAACGGATATAATTCATCTTCTGTGGCTGAAGTTTTACCCTCATTTATTTAAACAAAGTACTTCAGGAAACGTAAACATAGTAAATGAATACATAAACAGAATTATAAGCAGTTCATGACACATTCATCAAATCTGTGTGGGTTCTGCTGATGCAACAAGTGCAGAAAGAGACACGGGACCCCGATACCCATCAGAATCAGAATAAGCTTTATTGCCAGCGCTCCAGCGACCCAGAGCATAGGAACTTGACTCCGCGAACACAACCTGACCAAGGATAAACACACACACATGTAGACAAAAACAGGTACAGGCAGTCACGAGAGCAGCCATAACGGCGCTCATTTCATTAGATGAAAAGGGTGTTACATGAGGATAATTGGGGTAAGGTTAAAAAAAAGGCATAGCAGAGTTAGACCCAGCGGGTAGTAACTCTATTATACAAAAAAAACCCTCAACATAGAAGCACGAACATCACAGTTACAAAACATCAGAGTCCGATGGGGAGGCGGGGTTGGGCGGGATCCTGAATCCTCCAACGGGAGCTGCCATTGCGGCGCTCAGCCAGCTGCAGTCGAACAGGTGGGAGGGAGAAATGAGGGACAGAGAGCACATTTAGTTCCTGCAGGTTGCTGACCTTGAAGCAGAAGTCACAATCTGAAGGCAGGGGGGGGGGAAGGTCAGGACACAGCATCTGTCAGCATTCCTCCTTTCGTGGGAGTGTGTTGAAGCAGCCTTGGAGGCTGCCTTGGAGTCAGATAAGGATAAACAAGACTTTGTTTAAGGCAGACAGAGATAATTTTCCTCTCTGCCTTGGAGTCTATAAGTGGTCATTCATGTCCACCAGTGAAGCCAATTATATGTTCTAAACATCCCCACACCGTCCGGCGACCCTCTCCGAGATCACATCCATCTTGCGCACTAACACAGGCAACGCCGCGAGGACATTGTCCAGCTTACAGTTCACCTCGAGTAACGTCCCAGTCTGTGAGGTCACCGCACGGGCGGCACATTCCGTGGGTGCGGGTTGCACTCCAATCGCTCCCGTCTTCCCAAATTTCCAGAAAACCAGATATCCTCCCACTCCAATCAGAAGAAATCCAGTGATCATCAGGCCGAATATTCACAAATCTTCCACATCCTCGATGGACAACTGAGAGAGGCACACGATTCGCCAGGCCTCCCAAGAATCGAGTGCATATCCCGCTGCGAATGTCCCCTCGGGACAAGTGGGTGCCCCCAGCTCCTGAACCTGCTGCTGGAAATCCTGATGCTCCTGAACCTGCTGCTGGTCCTCCTGATGCTCCTGAACCTGCTGTTGGACGTCCTGATGCTCCTGAACATGCTGCTGGTCCTCCTGATGCTCCTGAACCTGCTGTTGGACGTCCTGATGCTCCTGAACCTGCTGCTGGACATCCTGATGCTCCTGAGCCTGATGATGGTCCTCCTGATGCTCCTGAACCTGCTGCTGGACATCCTGATGCTCCTGAACCTGCTGGTGGTCATACTGATGCTCCTGAACCTGCTGCTGGACATCCTAATGCTCCTGAACCTGCTGCTGGACATCCTGATGCTCCTGAACCTGCTGATGGTCATCCTGATGCTCCTGAACCTGCTGATGGTCATCCTGATGCTCCTAAACCTGCTGCTGGACATCCTGATGCTCCTGAACCTGCTGGTGGTCATCCTGATGCTCCTGAACCTGCTGCTGGAAATCCTGATGCTCCTGAACCTGCTGCTGGTCCTCCTGATGCTCCTGAACCTGCTGATGGTCTGAACCTGCTGCTGGACATCCTGATGCTCCTGAACCTGCTGATGGTCCTGCTGAGCCTGCTGATGGTCCTCCTGATGCTCCTGAGCCTGCTGATGGTCCTCCTGATGCTCCTGTGCCTGCTGATGGTCCTCCTGATGCAGACAAATTGGCAGTGTTGGTAGACGGGCCAGGAAGAATTTCTTAGCCTAAGTTGGGCGGTGCCCCAAGGCAGCAAGTAGAGGATCAGTTTCACCCTCTCAGCAGTCCCAGTAGAGACAATGGGACATCCGTTCTTTGTGACCTCACATCTGTCTTAGGGGGCCACAGTACATGACTTGTGTTGACCAGCTGAGGTCCACAATTAGTAAACATATCTGAATAATTGAAAAGTCTTGGTTGTTTTAGTTGGATTTAGGTATTTAACATTAAATGAGGATAAGAAGAAGAGGAGAACCAAGATGGCACAGCAGATGGACGCCCTGGTGTGGGTTCCTCTTATGGATTCAATAAGACACGAAAGATCAGACAGTTGTCCATCACAGCGTGGGCTTTTTTCAGTTATACAAACAAGTTCTTTAGGACAGCGGGCTGCCGAGAGCCTTCGGCCGAACCTCCTCGAAAAGCCTCGCTCTCAGCAATTCAGTGGAGGTGTGTGTTTACATCAGTAATGGTGTACAGATGGCGATCGCTCGGCGTCGCTCTCCCTCTCTGGAATATCGTTGTATAAAGTGTAAACCGCGGCAGTTCTCCTCCTTCATTCTAGCTGCTGCTAGATGCTGACGTGCACGAGGCTCAGCTCCAGGAACAGATGTCGTGCATGGAGTGGACGAACCCGACTCCCTTATCGTTGTTCTGGGAGATTTTAGCAAAGCCAGTCTGAGCCAGGAGCTTCCCAAACATAAACAGTCTATGAATGCCCAACCAGGGAGGAGAACCCCTGGACCACTGCTACAGCACGGTAGCTGACTTCGTGGAGTTCAGCTCTGCCTTCAACACAATCCTCCCAGACCTCCTCCAAGACAAACAGTCCCAGATGGACATGTCTGACCTCATCTGCTGGTGGATCACTGACTTCCAGACGGGAAGCAGCAGGTCAGGCAGGGAAGAACGTCTCTGACATGCAGACCATCAGCACCGGTTCCCCTCAGGGCTGTTCCCTCCCCTCTGATCTTCTCCCTGTACACCAACAGCTGCACCTCCAACCACGAGCCTGTCAAGCTCCTCAAATTTGCAGACGACACCACTGTCATCGGACTCGTCTCTGACGGGGATGAGTCTGCCTACAGAAGGAGGAACGGCTGGTGTCCTGATGCTAACCCCATAACCCTGTCTGCCACGCCCATCACGATGGTGGACTCATGTCACTTCCTGGGCACCATCACCCAGAACATCACCTCCATCATAAAAAGGTCCTGTAGAGGATGAACTTCCTGAAGCAGCTGAAGAAATTTAACCTTCCAGTCGAGTTGATGAGGCGGTTCTACACCGCAGTCATCGAGTCATCCTCACCTCTTCCATCACCGTGTGGTACGCTGGAGCCACCATCAGGGACAAGAAGAAGCTGCAGCGTGTTGTACGCTCTGCTGAGAAGGTCATTGGCTGCTAACTTCCCTCCATACGGGACCTGTACACCTCCAGGTCATTGAGACATTGTAGCGACATGAATAGCCTCATTTGTGACCCAAAGGTCACACTTCCTGAGCTAGGTCAAGCTGTCTCGGCTGTACTTCTATTTACAGATTATCCATCACAGGAGACACAAAGTCTGCTGTAATCCATATTTAACCTGACTGCTGTTCCATCCGCAAGATGAAGGACACTTCAAGATTTAAAAGAATCATTTTTAATAAACTTTTTTCACTCGTATTACAATGTTCATAAATAATCATCAAGGTTCATTATAAATGTGTTTAAGTACTGAAATGAATTATTATCCTTTGGTTAATAATAATAATTATTTATGATAATCAGTAATGTTTAACAGTGACAAGAAGATCATGTGCACTTATACACACCATGCAGGTCACAGTAATCAGGTTAAAGTTAACTGCACTCACATGTCTTTGCTCCATGACACCAGACCTTTCTATCTTGGGAGGGCGTGTTCTGAGGTATAAGTCCCACCCTCTAACATGTCAAAATCTAATTCGTTAGAATAAGATTACCATCGGTCTCTTAAAACCTAACTCCTCAGTTCAAGTTCAGTTCTTGAGCTCACTAAATTTTCTCCGTGGCAACGAGAGTCCAGAGTATCGAGTCGGCCGTTCGAAACCTCTACTAAAGCTTTTCTGTCATGCTGATGGAATTGCTTCAACAGAAACGCCATCTGCGACAAGCTGACGCAAAACTCCTTCAGAGTGTATTTTAAAATGCAAACCATCCTCCTGTGTGCCTGCGGCAACTCTAGGACCAGAGAGTCAGTACCACTGGTCTACCCTACCGGACCGGGTACCCAGAGGCTGACCAACATCTTCCCTTGACCTCCGGATCTGAACAGAGGGTCGTCTGAACGGTGAGATAGAACACAAGATTGCGTTTGGATGCTTGTTCATTAAGAAATAATTTAGCTGAACTGCAAACCAAATTATTTCACCCAGAACGCGTTTTTCTCTCTCTAAGATAAAAACCTTCTGAGACTACATACACACATCCAAACACACACACTTCATTTTTAGTTTCATCCAGACACAGGTTGCTTTAATACCAGGTTTTAATACCAAACCTTTTATAAATTGTCATTTATGAATTGTCTTTTAAATTGTCATCTTTAAATTGTTAGTAATAAATTCTTAACTTTTTAAACCTGACTCTTCTTTGAATAAAACAGAGTGGTGTATATTTGGTCATTGAACGAGCAAATATCTCTTTAGATCTTCTGAATTAATAAATAAACTTTTGCTATTAATTTAAATCTTAAATTAAATATTAATTTTTTTGATTAAATATAGACCAAGCCAGTTGGTGTATGAACTTCTATCGATTATATAAATATCCGTGGATATATATACAGTGATCCCTCGTTTATCGCGGTAGATGCTTTCCAGACCTGGCCTCGATAGGATTAGTGTTTCTTTAATGGATATCAACTACCTGATCCAGGCGTGGAGGCCACGCAGCCTTTAGCCATTAGCTTCCAGCGGTTCTTCCATCTGGTTTTGACTGTGTTCTGTCTCAGCCTCTGGAGTACCAGGTGGGCCCAAAGTCCAACACGCTGCCATTCCTGCGGAACCCTGACATCCTGGTGGGGGAGAATGACCTGACGGCGCTCAGCTACCTGCATGAACCCGCTGTCCTGCACAACCTCAGGGTCCGCTTTCTAGAGTCCAACCATATCTACACCTACTGTGGTGAGTGGGACCGTTCTGCCTCTAAACCGCGTCTCAGTAGATTTCAGGTGAAGTGGTTTCTCCAGTGTGACCTCTGAAGGTTGCGATGCGTTCTCTGACAGTCTCATTTCAGCACTTCCATGTTGTTCTGACGCACCACCAAAACAGAATCGGCACCCATTGCTGAGTGGGCCGAGCCTGTGTAACAGACCAGCCTCTTGTTGCAGGTATCGTTCTGGTGGCCATCAACCCGTACGAACAGCTGCAGATCTATGGAGAGGAGGTCATCACCGCCTACAGCGGCCAGAACATGGGAGACATGGACCCGCACATCTTTGCTGTGGCTGAGGAGGCGTACAAACAGATGGCCAGGTACACCTGCGCATGTGGAGGGGGTGGGTTCCTGAAACTGGGTTTTCCTGGCTCAAACTGAGGCAGAGGTGGTACCATCCTGACCGTGTGCCAGCACATGCGTACTCTGTGCATTCAACTGCCTCACTTTTTTAAAGGCTAAATATGTTATCGTTAAGTGTTCTATTCTAAGCTTCTGTTGATTAATAGAATATTCCATTTAACAACGTTTCAGGTGAAACAAAACAGGTTTGCTGCTAAAAATATGAAATAAAATTCAATTCAATTTTATTGATAAAGCGCCAAATCAGGACAAGAGCCGTCTCAAGGCACTTCACGTAATAAACATTCCAATTCATGTCAGGTCATTAAGCCAATCAGAAAAAAAGTTTCCTATATAAGGAACCCAGCAGGTTGCATCGAGTCACTGACTAGTGTCAGTGACTTTACAGTAATCCTCATACTAAGCAAGCATGCAGCGACAGTGGAGAGGAAAACTCCCTTTTAACAGGAAGAAACCTCCAGAGAATCCTGGCTCAGTATAAGCAGCCATCCTCCACGACTCACTGGGGATCGAGACAGACAGACAGACACCAAGTAGTGTTTCTAAGGTTACAGGTTGTGATTTCTCAGTAAATAATCTATTTGGTGGGAGATAAACTTTATTGTATTTATCCTAGTGAATCTATAATTAAACTGATAAACTAGTAGTAGCACATCCAATGTCAAGGAAAGCAAAATGTTATTATCAGGAGAGGGAGAATGTTTAAGTGGTTAGCAGCAGTGTGCTAGTCGATGGCCCCCTCCATGAGGCCACCACAGCTCAGCAGAACATCATTGTAGCTTCTTCTGGGGAGAAAAACACTTAGAGAGAAAATAAAGTTAACAGCTGAAATAGCAGGAAATAATACAGTTAAAGAGCAGATTGTAGAAGAAAGTAGTCGAGTGTGAAAAGTGGTCAGTGTGTCCTCCAGCAGTCTAAGCCTATAGCAGCATAACTACAGAGATAACTCTGGATAACCTAGCCTTTTAGATGGAGGCATGTTGGAGTCAGGGCAAGGGAGAGCCGTCTTTACCGACTGTACACTCCACCTCCCTCTACTCCCCCACTTGTCCAGATCTGGGCTAACATCAGATTTTAACCATAGGCCCTATCAAATAAAAATGTTTTAAGCCTATTCTTAAAAGTAGACAAGGCGTCTGCCTCATCGACTAAAGCTGGGACTTGGTTCCATAGGAGAGGACCCTGATAGCTAAAAGATCTGCCTCCCTTCCTATTTTTAGATATTCTGGGAACCACCAGTAAACCTGCAGTCTGAGAGCAAAGTGCTCTGTTAGGAACGTATGGAACAATCAGATCACTGATGTATGATGGAGCTTGATTATTAACAGCTTTATATGTGAGAAGAAGGATCTTAAAATCTATTCTGAATTTAACAGGTAGCCAATGTAGGGAAGCTAAGACAGGAGAGATATGATCTCTCTTTATAATTCTCATCAGAACTCTAGCTGCAGCATTTTGGACAAGATGAAGACTTTTAACTACATTCTGTGGATTTCCTGAGAGTAATGAATTACAGTGATCCAGTCTTGATGTAATAAATGCATGAACTAGTTTTTCAGCATCACTCCTGGAAAGGATGCTTCTAATCTTAGCAATATTCCGAAGGTGGAAAAAGGAAATCCTACAAACCTGTTTAACCTGGGATTTGAATGACATGTCCTGGTCAAAGATAACACCAAGGTTCCTTACTTTGTTCTCGGAGATTAATGTAATACCATTCAGGTCAGGTGATTGACTAAGCATTTTACTTTTCTGGATTTCTGGTCCAAAGATGAGAACTTCCGTCTTGTCGTGATTTAAAAGCAGAAAGGTTAGAGTCATCCAATTTTTTATGTCTTCAAGACAAGCCTGTAATCTACCTAACCGATTAGGTTCATCAGGGTTAATGGATAAATATAACTGAGTATCGTCAGCATAACAGTGAAAGTTTATCCCATGCTGTCTAATGATTTTACCAATTGGGAGCATATATATATATATATATATATAGTAAAAAGAATTGGTCCAAGCACTGAACCCTGTGGTACTCCGCAAGTAACCCTGGAGTATGAAGAAGATTTGTCATGTACATTTACAAAATGAAATCTGTCAGACAGGTAGGATTTAAACCAGCCTAACGCTGTTCCTTTGATCCCTACAACATGTTCAAGTCTTTCAACAAGAACATTGTGATCTACTGTGTCAAAGGCAAAGCTGTCTGTGTATTCAACAAAATTATCAGGCTGAAATAACAGACTCTTATTATGAAAGGCTCAATAATATGCATTAGATTGGTGTTTAGTTCCTTTTTCCCATCTGATGTTTATAGTTAAAATATTTTGTAAAATTGGACCTTCAGTAACATTTTAGGTTTGTATTAATAATACTCATCTTAGTAGTGATGTGTCATTCGCAAACGAACTGGTTCGAAGAGCCGGCTCTATGAAGTGACCGACGGGAGCCGTCCCTCCCACCCCCCACCCCCCACACACACACGCGCGTCACATCCCCACCCCACCCCCGCCTTAGCGAAATCTACAGGCGATTGGTCAACATGTGTAACTGCGTGTCCAGACTGTCCACACACAAAGCAGTAGGGGCGGGGAAGAGGGAGGATCAAACAGACACACTGCAGAGCACATAAGGGCGGAGGGAGACGAGAGGGAATGAGGAGGAGGAGGAGGAAAAAGACGAGCGAGAGAGAGGACTAGGGATGAGCGAGTACACCACTATCTGTATCTATCTGTATCTGTGTGTGCGTGCGTGTGTGTGTGTGTGTGTGTGTGTGTGTGCTCTGTCTTCTCCATCCCCAGTGAGTCATGGAGGATGGCTGCTTATACTGAGCCAGGATCCTCTGGAGGTTTCTTCCTTTTAAAAGGGAGTTTTCCTCTCTACTATCGCTGCATGCTTGCTTAGTATGAGGATTGCTGTAAAGACTCTGACACTAGTCAGTGACTCGATGCAACCTGCTGGGTTCCTTATATAGTAAACTGTTTACTGATTGGCTTAATGACCTGACCTGTGTTGTTTACTATGTGAAGGTCCTTGAGACGACTCTGGTCCTGATTTGGCGCTTTATACATAAACTTTAATTGAATTGAATTGAAAGGTAATCATGCCTGTTATTCATTTATAGGATGTGTGTGTTAATGCAGATGTGGGATCAATTTATGTCAAATAATTGTGATTATTTCTCAGTTGAGGTGGCTCAGGCATCTGGTCAGGATGCCTCCTGGACACCTCCCTGGTGAGGTTTTCCGGGCACGTCCAACCGGGAGGAGACCTAAAGGTAGACCCAGGACACGGCGGAGGCACTATGTCTCTCACCTGGCCAGGGAACGTCTTGGGATTCCCCCGGAGGAGCTGGCCCAAGTGGCTGGGGAGAGGGAAGTCTGGGCCTCTCGCCTTAGGCTGCTGTCCCTGCGATCCAACTCCAGATAAGCGGATGAAAATGGATGGATGGACTATAGTCATGCCACCAACATTTGTAACTGTTACAGCCCTAGCCCCGACACAGACGGATTTATGAGGACACCTGTACCAGTGAGGTACCAGGGAGCTCACGCCCACCGTTGTTTAGCCTATCGAGAGCACCGCTGACTTTTCCATGCGTCTTTATGTCACATGCTCGGGGATTTCCACATTCCTGAGAAGTCCTACAAAACCCATCCTACAAGTCCGACCCGACGCCACCCAGTCCTGACCTGGATGTGCCCAGATGTTCAGCATTTGACCCATTCAGTCAGCAAAAGAAAGTACTGTAGTAAAGTATTTAGTTACTGCTAATTGAAATCACATTGCGTTACAGTTTCAAGTAGGTGTAGTTAACGTTTCCTTTACAGAAGTGAAAATTTATATTTTTACATTTATGTCTGTCAACTAAAATTAAAACCAGTTGGAGGAACAAGCGAGACAAAAATGTAAGAATTTTAATGGAAAGACTAAAACGAAGTAAAAGTATCTTGTGAAAATGAACACCAGCTGTCGCGTAGAGGACGTCTGGAGAACAGCAGCCCGGTGCACTGGCTCCCTGTTTTATAGGATCCACTTGAACGAAATATTTAGCTAATTTTTCATATTTTACATCATTTTCTTGAGCCAGTATGTGCTAAAATAACCATTTACAGGGTTAAAGAAAGGCTGCCCAGCCCCTATCCCCCCCTGTGGCCAGAATATCACACTGCTGGGACTTGATTGATCTGACCTACCTGGCGCTGCTGTTTGGCGTCACGTTTCCTGTTTAGACGTCTGAGTCTTTCCGTTTTACCGCATGAAAGCTTCGCAGGAGGTTTAAACTTCATTAGAATAGAAGAATGTTTCAGATCCTCCGGAGTAAAACTGGTATTATTCATCCTGCTGAGTCAGACGAAGCCTACTGCTTGCTGGTCATGTGACCACTTCTTCTGTGGTGTTTCCGCAGAGACGAGAGGAACCAGTCCATCATAGTGAGCGGAGAGTCGGGAGCAGGGAAGACCGTTTCAGCCAAGTACGCCATGAGGTTCTTCGCCACAGTGGGTGGATCCTCCCGTGACGCCAACGTGGAGGAGAAGGTTCTGGCCTCCAATCCCATCATGGAGGTCAGTGGGCGGAGCTTAAATCCATAACCACCAGGGCTGGGTACCTTTAGTTTTTGATTCTGGTACTGTAACAGACAGTAACTACATTTCTTTATTTTCGTTAAACTCTTTGGTGCAAACAGGAAACTCACATCTTTCATTTTATAGCAAATATTTGTATTAAAGAGCAAGTCACCCCCGAGTCAACTTTATTTGCTGATAAACTACGAGTGTCCAACCGTGCTGTAGACACATGTAGCTAAAAACTCTGCACTGCATTTTCATTTAAATCTCCTTAGCAATTGGCTAAGAGGTCCAGTATGACGTTAGCTGGTACGTTATGATGTCACAAAGTCGTTTGACTGTGTGTGTGTGTGTGTGTGTGTGTGTGTGTGTGTGTGTGTGTGTGTGTGTGTGTGTGTGTGTGTGTGTGTGTGTGTGTGTGTGTGTGTATTTGTTAGCGGCTCCGCCCTCTCGGTCTGCCAGGCAACAGCGTTTGTTGCATTTATTCAAACAGGAAGTGGGAGTGGAGTAAGACTCTGGTAGGGGGGTGACTTGCTCTTTAAGTAATTGAGTTTAGAGTCATGACTGTGACCCGGTCATGTGACTGGCTGTGGGGTCCAAACTGACCTCTCCTGGGATCCAAGAGAAACGAGAATCGGCTGGAACGAGGAAAGTTTATTAAAGATTACAACATGGTGCAGAAAAGTAGATTAAACACACCACCCAGGGGTCGGGTCCATCTTTAGGTGAGTCAGAACCACCCAGGGGTCGGGTCCATCTTTAGGTGAGTCAGAACCACCCAGGGGTCGGGTCCATCTTTAGGTGAGTCAGAACCACCCAGGGGTCGGGTCCATCTTTAGGTGAGTCAGAACCACCCAGGGGTCGGGTCCATCTTTAGGTGAGTCAGAACCACCCAGGGGTCGAGTCCATCTTTAGGTGAGTCAGAACCACCCAGGGGTCGAGTCCATCTTTAAGTTAGTCAGAACCACCCAGGGGTCGGGTCCATCTTTAAGTGAGTCAGAACCACCCAGGGGTCGGGTCCATCTTTAAGTGAGTCAGAACCACCCAGGGGTCGGGTCCATCTTTAAGTGAGTCAGAACCACCCAGGGGTCGGGTCCATCTTTAAGTGAGTCAGAACCACCCAGGGGTCGGGTCCATCTTCAAGTGAGTCAGAACCACCCGGGGTCGGGTCCATCTTTAAGTGAGTCAGAACCACCCAGGGGTCGGGTCCATCTTCAAGTGAGTCAGAACCACCCAGGGGTCGGGTCCATCTTCAAGTGAGTCAGAACCACCCAGGGGTCGGGTCCATCTTTAAGTGAGTCAGAACCACCCAGGGGTTGGGTCCATCTTTAAATGAGTCAGAACCACCCAGGGGTCGGGTCCATCTTCAAGTGAGTCAGAACCACCCAGGGGTCGGGTCCATCTTTAAGTGAGTCAGAACCACCCAGGGGTCGGGTCCATCTTTAAGTGAGTCAGAACCACCCAGGGGTCGGGTCCATCTTCAAGTGAGTCAGAACCACCCGGGGTCGGGTCCATCTTTAAGTGAGTCAGAACCACCCAGGGGTCGGGTCCATCTTCAAGTGAGTCAGAACCACCCAGGGGTCGGGTCCATCTTCAAGTGAGTCAGAACCACCCAGGGGTCGGGTCCATCTTTAAGTGAGTCAGAACCACCCAGGGGTTGGGTCCATCTTTAAATGAGTCAGAACCACCCAGGGGTCGGGTCCATCTTCAAGTGAGTCAGAACCACCCAGGGGTCGGGTCCATCTTTAAATGAGTCAGAACCACCCAGGGGTCGGGTCCATCTTTAAATGAGTCAGAACCACCCAGGGGTCGGGTCCATCTTTAAATGAGTCAGAACCACCCAGGGGTCGGGTCCATCTTTATGGATAGATTCAGCCAGAACTTTATTATCAGTGTTTGTTTGAGGAGGTTTTTCTAAAGGATAAGCTGATGGAAAAACTCTGCCTCTGATTGGTCAGCTCCATTCTCCCATCAGGCCATCGGAAATGCCAAAACGACCCGGAACGACAACAGCAGCCGCTTTGGGAAGTACATCCAGATCGCGTTCAGCCGGCACTACCACATCATCGGGGCCAGCATGAGAACGTATCTGCTGGAAAAGTCCCGGGTCGTGTTCCAGGTGAGTCCAGCTAGTCCCCGCCTGGAGAACGGTCCAGGTCCCAGATGACGCCTTGTGTTTGTGTTCCAGGCCGAAGAGGAGAGAAACTACCACATCTTCTATCAGCTGTGTGCCTCAGGCAGCTTACCGGAGTTCAAGGAGCTCAGCCTAAGTGAGTGTGTGTGTGTGTGTGTTTGGAAGATGGAAAGACAACCTTGAAGAGTTGATAACGCGAGGAAGGCTTTGAAGGGAAGAAAGGCAGCTGGTCCTGATGACATGCCTGTGGAGGTGTGAAGTGTCTAGGAGAGGTGGAAGGAGAACTTCTCACTAGGTTGTTCATCTAGATGCTCAAGGAGCAGAGGGAAGTGTTCTGGTTTGAAGTAGAGGAACAAGGGAGATTAACAGAATTGTGTCAGCATTAGAAGGATAAAGCTGAGTCATACGAAGAAGATGTGAGAGCGGTGGAAGCTAGGCTGTATCTCCTGTTTCTTTGCCTGAGCTAACCAAACTAGTTAACTCTATCAAGACCTCTGCATGCCCCCTCCACATCTTACCCTCATCTTTGTTTAAAAGTGCTTTTCAGTCCATCGGACCCAGCGTGCTCTCTATAATTAATGCTTCTCTGGTTTCTGGTCAGGTCCCTGCTTACTTTAAGAACGCTGTAATCCACCCGCTTCTTAAAAAAACGAGTCTCGACCCCTCTCTCCATAGCAGCTTCAGACCCATCTCTAAACTTCCGTTCATCTCCAAGATCTTGGAAAAGGTTGTGGCTAAACAACTCACAGCTGCTCTTGATGAACATAACATCTATGATAGCTTCCAGTCAGGTTTTCGTAGAGCTCATTCTACTGAAACAGCTCTTCTTAGGGTCTCTAATGACCTTCTGACTCACAGTGATGCAGTGGACTGTTCTGTTCTGGTCCTGCTGGACCTGACTGCAGCCTTTGACACTGTTGACCATCAACCTGCTACTGGAGAGACTGAGAGACTGGGTAGGCCTATCAGGAACTGCTCTGGAGTGGTTCTCCTCTTATCTCTCTGAGCGTTCCTTTTCTGTGGATGTCTCCAAGTTTAGGTCCTCTACCACCTCCCTTACCCATGGTGTCCCACAAGGTTCTGTGCTGGGGCCTCTGCTCTTCCTCCTCTATCTGCTTCCTCTTCAGCACATCCTGAGCTCCTTCAAAGGAATCTCCTACCATCTTTATGCAGATGACATCCAACTGTACATCTCCTTTAAGCCCCATGAGATGTCTAAGCTGCAGCTGTTACACACCTATGCAGCACCAATCCACCTATCGATCTCACGCTCCAGTTTTCTCTCACTCGTGAACAAGACCCCGAGATACTTAAACTCCTCCACTTGGGGCAGGACCTCATCCCTGACCCGGAGAAGGCATTCTACCCTTTTCCGAATCAAGACCATGGTCTCAGATTTAGAGGAGCTGAATCTCTGATTGTGCAACATTAACTGACAATATCTTTATAAATGTCTTGGGGAACACTTTCACAAGTGGACTTGACTAACGAAGTCAAGTCAAGTCAACTTTATTTATAAAGCACTTTACAACAGCATAAAAGCTGACCAAAGTGCTTAACAAGCCAAAAAGAACAGAAGTTCCCTAAAAATTCTAAAAATAAGATAAAAAGCTCGTCACAAAGTCAAAACATGATAAAAACAAACATATCAAACTGACATAAAAGCTACTAAAAACAGATGCATTCTCAAACTGAATTAAAAACAACTGAGAACAGATGAGTCTTTAAAAGTGATTTAAAACCTGACAGTGACGAAACCATCCTAATCTGGATTGGGAGTGCATTCCACAACCTCGGAGCTGCTACTGAGAAAGCTCTGTCACCCCTGAGCTTTCTCTTTGTTCTCAGCACCTCCAGGAGAAACTGGTCGGCTGACCTCAGTGACCGAGACGGGGAGTGAGCAACTAAAAGTTCACAAAGATACTGCGGAGCAAGGCCATGTACAGCTTTAAAAGCCAATAAAAGAACCTTGTACTGGACCCTAAAATCCACAGGCAGCCAGTGCAGCGAAGCTAAAATTGGGGTAATGTGCTCCCTCTTTCTCAAACCCGTCAATAGGCGTGCTGCTGCATTTTGCACCATTTGAAGACGGGAGAGGTGAGACTTAGGAAGACCAAGGTACAGTGTGTTGCAATAGTCAAGGCGTGATGTAATAAACGCGTGAATCACCGTCTCAGAGTCATGACTTGAGAGCAGACGCTTAACCTTGGCGATCCTCCTTAACTGATTGCGATCCGGTAGGTGACGCTCAGCTTTGCTGCGTTCTCTTTTCTGACCTGTCACTGATGAGGTGCTCCATGGAGCTTTTTGTTTGCTACAAACGAGTCTGACCTGTTCAGGTGCAGCGGTGTCGAGGACTTCAGTTTTACAGTAGAAGTGATTTAAAAGGGAATCAGCACAGCTGGTTGTCAGACACGTTGATGCATTCATGCCTTCGATAAAAGCTGATGGGTGAGGTCAGCTGAGGTGTGATGTGTAGCCGGTGAAACGGTCAGATAGACCCACATCCTTAACAACCATCAAATCAAATCACTTTTATTGTCACGTCACATGTGCACACTGGTACAGTACATGCGAGTGAAATTCTTATGTGCGAGCTTCACAGCAACAGTTGTGCAAAAATACAGTAATGTAAGAACAAGTAAAATATAAAAATGGCTAATCTAAATATACAAATGAATAAAGTAAACAATAAGATAAGAGATATAAAATATACAGAGGTTGGTATGTGCAAAACAGTGGCATTAATGTACAGTATGGAGTGTGTAATATTGGAGTTTCAGTAGTGAGGGTGAGGTGTCTGCGATGTGTTCAGCAGTCTGATGGCCTGATGGAAAAAGCTGTCTGTCAGTCTGCTGGTTCTGGACCGGATGCTGCAGAACCTCCTTCCTGATGGAAGTAGTCTGAACAGTTTATGGCTGGGGTGACTTGAGTCCTTGATGATCCTCCCTGCTTTCCTCAGGCACCGCTTCCTGTAGATGTCCTGGAGGGAGGGAAGCTCACCTCCAATAATCCTTTCAGCACACCGCACTACTCTCTGGAGAGCTTTGCGGTTGTAAGCGGTGCTGTTGCCATACCAGGCGGAGATGCATCCATGTTAGACACATCCACATCTTTGGTTATGATTAAGTGGAGAGCGCGTCCAGATGGTGGGTTTGATTATGGACATTTTGTTGGAGATCAAATAATTCAAGCACCCCAAGGATATGTTCTGCAGATTTGTCAGTAGCATCATCAACATGAATATTAAAGTCACCAGTTATGAGAAGATTTGCAAAGTCTGTTGTGATAACAGAAATAAGCTTGGTGAAGTTTTCTAGGAATGGATTGCATGACCCTGGAGGCCTGTAGATAACTACACCAATATTTTGGGAGTACCTTTAACTTCAAAACAAAGATACTCAAAAGAGTCATAAGCACCACAAACTAGCTGTTTACAGAGGAATGAGTCTCTAAAAATAGTAGCTATAGCACCGCCACGCCTGTCTGATCGAAGAACGGTTAGAGATGTGAAATTTGTTGGTGTTGATTCTATGAGAACTGGTGCATAGCTACCACCATTTAGCCAAATTTCAGATCTAAACATGAAATCAAGATTGTGAGAAGAGAAAAGAAAATGTATTAAAAATGACTTCTTGCTAAGAGATCTAACATTTAATAACTCAACCTTCATGGAGATGATGGGAGGAACCTGTGCAGAATGGGCCTGATAAGGAACTGTTAGCAGGTTTCGGGGATTATGTGAGCAAATTGGCACTTTCCTGTTCTGTCTTGTAGATATTATAACAGAGATGATGAGTACTGCTGGATACTTGTTTCAGACGAGTATCCGGTACGGATAAAGCATTTTTGACGAGTACGAGCGTGAAACGAGTAAAACTCGTAAATATCTGTAATCGTGCTGAAGGAAAATCCTCATTGGGTAAGTGACTGTCTTCACGCTCTGTGATTGGCCAGTCACATAGAGCGCCCGCCCCTCCCTACACACAAACCTCAGCAGCCGGGAGCTCACGGCTCAGTCCGCGTCCGGTCCATCCACGCACACACACAGACAGTAACGGATCTCTCTGTGCTTGCTTCACTGTTCATGTTTCTTCAGTACTCCCTATGTTTTCTTCCGTTTGCTTCTTTTTAAAGTTACTTTAAAGTTATTTAAAGTTACTTTTATCGTAACGTACGTGGTGCATTTGACAAGACAGAGCTGAAAACGGCTCGTGCTGCGTCACTCACTGCCTCCTCTCCGGTCGGGGTTGTTTTTTCCTCTCTCTCTCCTCTTCCTCAGGATCCACTCCCTCTTTCCTATTCACTCTCTCTCTCTTTCTTTACATTTTTTAATCACAAATGTCTATCTTTTGCTCATTTAAAATATATTTTAATCATTTTCTTGATTCTTTTTTCTATTTTACATGTTTTGTTTTTGTGAAGCGCCCCGTGATTTTTATCTTGAGAGGCGCTATAGAAAAGATCTTTTCTTCTCTCTCTTAATTCATGCACTTAAATATTAATGTTCTGATTTTATTGAAAAACTTGTTCTGTAATAGTTCCTTTACTATTGTGATCAAAAACATATAATCTCAACTCTGAGGCTGCTCTGTAAATAGTTTTCAAATAAACAATACATATAACTTCTGATCAGACTTAAAATAACGTATTGATGTAAACCACACCCACTTCCGGTTAAACTACACCCACTTCCGGGTTAGGCCACGCCCACTCTGAGTACAGATACAGATAGTGGTGTACTCACTCATCCCTAATGAATACTAACATTTCATTATGTTCACATTTGCCTTGGAAATATTCATGAGTGACTTCTTTCCTGAAATCTGGACCCCATAAATCTCAGTGATCGAAGGTAAGGTAGGTGTAAGACAGCAGAAAGATGTGAGACAGCAGGCAGGTGTGAGACAGCAGGTAGGTGTGAGACAACAGGGGGATGTGAGACAGTAGAGAGGTGTGAGACAGTAGAGAGGTGTGAGACAGCAGGCAGGTGTGAGACAGCAGGCAGGTGTGAGACAGCAGATAGGTGGGAGACAGCAGATAGATGTGAGACAGCAGGGAGATGTGAGACAGCAGGGAGATGTGAGACAGCAGATAGATGTGAGACAGCAGATAGATGTGAGACAGCAGGGAGATGTGAGACAGCAGGGAGATGTGAGACAGCAGGGAGATGTGAGACAGCAGATAGGTGGGAGACAGCAGATAGGTGGGAGACAGCAGTTAGATGTGAGACAGCAGGGAGATGTGAGACAGCAGATAGGTGTGAGACAGCAGATAGGTGGGAGACAGCAGTTAGATGTGAGACAGCAGTTAGATGTGAGACAGCAGATAGGTGTGAGACAGCAGGCAGGTGTGAGACAGCAGATAGGTGTGAGACAGCAGGGAGGCGTGAGACAGCAGGAAGATGTGAGACAGCAGGCAGGTGTGAGACAGCAGGGAGATGTGAGACAGCAGATAGGTGTGAGACAGCAGGAAGATGTGAGACAGCAGGCAGGTGTGAGACAGCAGGAAGATGTGAGACAGCAGGAAGATGTGAGACAGCAGGGAGGTGTGAGACAGCAGATAGCTGTCCAGTTCATGCAGGTCAATCTCATCCAGATGTAGAAGCTGGTCTCCAGATCTTCAGTCATCTGGAAACAGGAAACTGCAGCTGGATAATCCAGGAGAACATGGATGAGACTAAAGTTGTGTTTGTCTCCCAGCAAGTGCAGAAGACTTCATCTACACGTCTTTAGGAGAGAACATCTTCATCGAGGGCGTGAATGATGCTGAAGACTTCAAAAAGACCCGAGAGGCCTTCACTCTGCTGGGTAATCCTCCACCCTTCTTCTGGATAGACACCTCCTCTGAGAGAAAATAAAAATGTGTGTGTGTGTGTGTGTGTGTGTGCGTGTGCGTGTGCGTGTGCGTGTGTGTGTGCGTGTGCGTGTGTGTAGGGATAAAGGACAGTAGCCAGGTCAGCATCTTCAGGATCTTGGCCTCCATCCTTCACCTGGGGAACGTCGAGGTCCAGGCGGAGCGGGACGGAGAGTCCTGCCACATATCGGTACGTAGACCCACCCAAAGGTTCGGAGGCTCTGGGTTGGATCTGTGTTCTGACTGATCAGTATTTGTGTTGCAGAGGAACGATGTCCATCTGCAACACTTCTGCAGGCTGCTGGGCGTGGAGCTGCAGCAGATGGAGCACTGGCTTTGCCACAGGAAGCTGGCCACAGCGTCTGAGACATATTTGAAGAAGATGTCTAGCAAGCAGGCGGTCAACGCCCGTGATGCGCTCGCCAAGCATATCTACGCCCGACTCTTCGACTGGATTGTGGAGCACATCAACAAGGCTCTTCAGACGTCCTCCAAGCAGCACTCCTTCATCGGAGTCCTTGACATCTACGGGTACGGGGGGCATCAGAAGCATATGTTTGTGTGTCTAGCAGACTAAAAGTGAAGAGGCGGTTATCCTAGAAGCTAACAGCAAACAGCGTTTAGCTAACTCATCTTGGGCCGGATCGACTGGACTCGACCTGCTTTCCAGGCAGAGCTCCAGGCCACGTTATCCTCTTAGTGCACCCAGTTTTGTGACCAGATCATATTTAACATGACAGCTTTACAGGTTCATGGTTTAAAGGGGAAAGAGCGTGCTTGGGGGGGTGCAGGGCAGGTGTTTTAGCTGTTTGTCGCTACAGAAGCACATTACTACACTACTACTGCACATTACTACACTACTACTGCACATTACTACACTACTACTGCACATTACTACACTACTACTGCACATTACTACACTACTACTGCACATTACTACACTACTACTGCACATTACTACACTACTACTGCACATTACTACACTACTACTGCACATTACTGTTACTACACTACTACTGCACATTACTACACTACTACTGTACATTACTACACTACTACTGTACATTACTACACTACTACTGTACATTACTACACTACTACTGCACATTACTGTTACTACACTACTACTGCACATTACTACACTACTACTGCACATTACTACACTACTACTACACATTACTACACTACTACTGCACATTACTACACTACTACTGCACATTACTGTTACTACACTACTACTGCACATTACTACACTACTACTGCACATTACTACACTACTACTGCACATTACTACACTACTACTGCACATTACTACACTACTACTGTACATTACTACACTACTACTGCACATTACTACACTACTACTGCACATTACTACACTACTACTGTACATTACTAAACTACTACTGCACATTACTACACTACTACTGCACATTACTACACTACTACTGCACATTACTGTTACTACTACTGCACAGGTTCGAAGGATCTTTCATGGCGGTTAAAACGAAGAGTCGGAGTACCCGGCCCGGAGGGTTACCGGGGTCCCACCCTGGAGCCAGGCCTGGGGTTGGGGCCCGTGAGCGAGTGCCTGGTGGCCGGGCTTTCGCCCATGGGGCCCGGCCGGGCCCAGCCCGAACCGGATACATGGGCTCGTCCAACTGTGGACCCACCACCCGCAGGAGGAACATGAAGGGTCCGGTGCAATGCGAATCGGGTGGCAGACCAAGGCGGGAGCCTTGGCGGTCCAATACCCGGACAAGAAAACTAGTTTTTGGGACATGGAACGTCACCTCGCTGGCGGGGAAGGAGCCGGAGCTTGTGGCAGAGGTTGAGCGGTACCGGCTAGATATAGTCGGACTCACCTCGACACATTGCATTGGCTCTGGAACCCGAGACCTGGAGAGGGGTTGGACACTCTACTTTGCTGGAGTTGCTCCGGGTGAGAGGCGGAGGGCTGGGGTTGGCTTTTTGTTAGCCCCGAGACTCTCTGCCTGTGTGTTGGGGTTTACCCCGGGGGACAAGAGGGTAGCTTCCTTGCGCCTTCGGGTTGGGGAACGGGTCCTGACTGTTGTTTGTGCTTATGGGCCAAATATCAGTTCAGAGTACCCACCCTTTTTGGAGTCCCTGGGACGAGTGCTAGATAGTGCTCCATTAGGGGACTCCATTGTCCTGCTGGGGGACTTCAATGCTCACGTGGGCAATGACAGCTTGACCTGGAGGGGTGTGATTGAGAGGAACGGCCCACCTAATCTGAACTCGAGCGGTGTTTTGTTATTGGACTTCTGTGCAAGCCGCAGTTTGGCCATAACGAACACCATGTTCGAACGTAAGGATGCCCACCGGTACACTTGGTACCAGGGCAGCCTAGGTCACAGGTCGATGATAGATTTTGTAATCGTATCATCTGACCTGCGGCCGTATGTTTTGGACACCCGAGTGAAGAGAGGGGCGGAGCTGTCAACTGATCACCACCTGGTGGTGAGTTGGATCAGATGGCAAGGGAACATGCCGCGTAGACCTGGCAGACCCAAACGCATAGTGAGGGTCTGCTGGGAACGCCTGGCAGAAGAACCTGTCGAGACGGTCTTCAACTCCCACCTCCGGCAGAGCTTTGACCACGTCCCGAGAGCAGTGGGGGACATTGAGTCCGAGTGGGCCTTGTTCCACTCTGCGATTGTCGAGGCGGCTGTTGCTAGCTGTGGTCGTAAGGTGGCCGGTGCCAGTCGTGGTGGCAACCCCCGTACCCGCTGGTGGACACCAGAGGTTCGGGGAGCCGTCAGGCTGAAGAAGGAGGCCTACAGGGCGTGGCTGGTCTGTGGGTCTCCGGAGGCAGCAGACAGGTACCGGATAGCCAAGCGGGGTGCATCAGTGGCAGTTGCCGAGGCAAAATCTCGGGCGTGGGAGGAGTTTGGTGAGGCCATGGAGAAAGACTATCGATCGGCTCCAAAGAGGTTCTGGCAAACTGTCCGGCGCCTCAGGAGAGGAAGGCAGCAACTCGCTCACACTGTTTACAGTGGGGATGGGGAGCTGCTGACGTCAACTGAGGCTATAGTCGGACGGTGGAAGGAATACTTTGAGGAGCTCCTCAATCCCACCAATGCGCATTCCGAGGAGGAACCAGAGCTGGGAGGCCTGGGGATGGACTGTCCGATCTCGGGGGCAGAAGTTGCTGAGGTAGTCAAACAACTACACAGCGGCGGAGCCCCGGGGGCGGATGAGGTTCGTCCTGGGTATCTCAAGGCTATTGATGTTGTAGGGCTGTCATGGTTGACACGTCTCTACAACATTGCGTGGTCATCGGGGGCAGTTCCTAGGGAGTGGCAGACCGGGGTGGTGGTCCCCATCTTTAAGAAGGGTGACCTGAGGGTGTGTTCCAACTATAGGGGGATCACACTCCTCAGCCTCCCTGGAAAGGTCTACGCCAAGGTACTGGAGAGGAGGGTCCGATCGATAGTTGAATCTCAGATAGAGGAGGAGCAATGTGGTTTTCATCCTGGCCGTGGAACTGTGGACCAGCTCTATACCCTTGCAAGGGTGATGGAGGGGGCATGGGAGTTTGCCCAACCAATCCACATGTGCTTTGTGGATTTGGAGAAGGCTTATGACCGTGTCCCCAGGGGCACCCTGTGGGGGACGCTCCAGGAGTATGGGGTGGGTGGCTTTCTGTTAAGGGCCATTCAGTCCCTTTACCAGAGGAGCGTGAGTTTGGTCCGCATAGCCGGTAGTAAGTCGGACCTGTTCCCAGTGAGGGTTGGACTCCGCCAGGGCTGCCCTTTGTCACCGGTTCTGTTCATCACTTTTATGGACAGAATTTCTAGACGCAGCCGTGGTGTGGAGTGTGTCGAGTTTGGTGGCAGGAGAATCTCGTCTCTGCTTTTTGCGGATGATGTGGTCCTCCTAGCTTCATCCAGCTCTGACCTTCAGCTCTTGCTGGGTAGGTTCGCGGCCAAATGTGAAGCGGCTGGGATGAGGATCAGCACCTCCAAATCTGAGACCATGGTTCTCGACCGGAAAAGGGTGGCTTGCCACCTCCGGGTCGGGGGAGAGGTCCTACCTCAAGTGGAGGAGTTTAAGTATCTCGGGGTCTTGTTCACGAGTGAGGGTAGGAGGGATCGGGAGATCGACAGGCGGATTGGTTCGGCGTCTGCAGTGATGCGGACGCTGAGCCGATCTGTCGTGGGGAAGAGGGAGCTGAGCCAGAAAGCCAGGCTCTCGATTTACCGGTCGATCTACGTCCCAATCCTCACCTATGGTCATGAGCTTTGGGTAATGACCGAAAGAACGAGATCGCGGATACAAGCGGCCGAAATGAGTTTCCTCCGTAGGGTGGCCGGGCTCAGCCTTAGAGATAGGGTGAGGAGCTCGGACATTCGGGAGGGACTCGGAGTAGAACCGCTGCTCCTCCGGATCGAAAGGAGCCAGTTGAGGTGGTTTGGGCATCTGGTCAGGATGCCTCCTGGACGCCTCCCCGGGGAGGTGTTTCGGGCATGTCCTGCCGGCAGAAGGCCCCCGGGTCAACCCAGGACACGTTGGAGAGGTTACATCTCCAATCTGGTCCGGGAACGCCTTGGGGTCCTGCCGGAGGAGCTGGTGGACAAGGCCGGGGAGAGGACGGCCTGGAGCTCCCTAATTGGGATGCTGCCCCCGCGACCCGGACCCGGATAAGCGGAGGAAGACGAAGACGAAGACTACTGCACATTACTACACTGCTACTGTACATTACTACACTACTACTGTACATTACTACACTACTACTGCACATTACTACACTACTACTGCACATTACTACACTACTACTGTACATTACTGTTACTACACTACTACTGCACATTACTACACTACTACTGCACATTACTGTTACTACACTACTACTGCACATTACTTTTACTACACTACTACTGCACATTACTACACTACTACTGTACATTACAACACTACTACTGCACATTACTACACTACTACTGTACATTACTACACTACTACTGCACATTACTACACTACTACTGCACATTACTGTTACTACACTACTACTGCACATTACTACACTACTACTGCACATTACTACACTGCTACTGCACATTACTACACTACTACTGCACATTACTACACTACTACTGCACATTACTACACTACTACTGCACATTACTATTACTACACTACTACTGCACATTACTACACTACTACTGCACATTACTACACTGCTACTGCACATTACTACACTGCTACTGCACATTACTACACTGCTACTGCACATTACTACACTATTACTGCACATTACTACACTACTACTGCACATTACTACACTACTACTGCACATTACTACACGACTACTGCACATTACTACACTACTACTGCATTTTACTACACTACTACTGCACATTACTACACTACTACTGCACATTACTACACTACTACTGCACAGTACTACACTACTACTGCACAGTACTACACTACTACTGCACAGTACTACACTACTACTGCACATTACTACACGACTACTGCACATTACTACACGACTACTGCACATTACTACACGACTACTGCACATTACTACACGACTACTGCACATTACTACACGACTACTGCACATTACTACACTACTACTGCACATTACTACACTACTACTGCACAGTACTACACTACTATTGTACATTACTACACTACTACTGTACATTACTGTTACTACACTACTACTGCACATTACTGCACTACCACTGCACATTACTGTTACTACACTACTACTGCACATTACTGTTACTACACTACTACTGCACATTACTACACTACTACTGTACATTACTACACTACTACTGCACATTACTACACTACTACTGTACATTACTACACTACTACTGCACATTACTACACTACTACTGCACATTACTGTTACTACACTACTACTGCACATTACTACACTACTACTGCACATTACTACACTGCTACTGCACATTACTACACTACTACTGCACATTACTACACTACTACTGCACATTACTACACTACTACTGCACATTACTACACTACTACTGCACATTACTATTACTACACTACTACTGCACATTACTATTACTACACTACTACTGCACATTACTACACTACTACTGCACATTACTACACTACTACTGCACATTACTACACTGCTACTGCACATTACTACACTGCTACTGCACATTACTACACTATTACTGCACATTACTACACTACTACTGCACATTACTACACTACTGCTGCACATTACTACACGACTACTGCACATTACTACACTACTACTGCATTTTACTACACTACTTCTGCACATTACTACACTACTACTGCACATTACTACACTACTACTGCACAGTACTACACTACTACTGCACAGTACTACACTACTACTGCACAGTACTACACTACTACTGCACATTACTACACGACTACTGCACATTACTACACGACTACTGCACATTACTACACGACTACTGCACATTACTACACGACTACTGCACATTACTACACGACTACTGCACAGTACTACACTACTACTGCACAGTACTACACTACTACTGCACATTACTACACTACTACTGCACATTACTACACTACTACTGCACATTACTACACTACTACTGCACATTACTACACTACTACTGCACAGTACTACACTACTACTGCACATTATTACACTACTACTGCACACACTAGAAACGTGAAGTCGCCATCTTAAAAAAACGGACCCAGAGATGATTTGTGTGATATGCTTGTCAGCCACTAGGTGGTGTCGTCGGATAAGAGAAATGCTCTGGAAAGAGCCTTTACTTGTGGCTTTTCTCCTAATACTAGAATTGGGGTGGACTCATTTTTGCGACGTGAGCTTGAATGGATTTGTGAGGAAAATCACTTTTTGTGCGTGAAAATGAACAAATCTTGTTTGCAGTCAGCGGCCCACATTAGTGAGAGTATTTAGTAGTATGGCATCTCGTAGAACATGTTGATTCTGATACTAAAGGCTTTCTGATACGTGTATTGGGGCGTACTCATTCATGCTGAGCAGGTAAGATGCGGCTTGCATCGACCAGACCTGTTCAGAAGCAAGTATAGAAGAGCGAGCATGAGGGACAGATGATCTTTAAACCCGACCCGGTTCTTCTTGAGTTTGTTGACTTTGTCTGATGGTTCCTGGTCTCTGCAGCTTCGAGACGTTTGAGATCAACAGCTTTGAGCAGTTCTGCATCAACTACGCCAACGAGAAACTGCAGCAGCAGTTTAACTCCGTAAGTTCTCCAGAACTGAGCGGGTAAGTGTGGTCTATGTCGTGTCCTACTTTCATCATCTTCATCCTCGCCCATGTCCTCAGCACGTCTTTAAGCTGGAGCAAGAGGAGTACATGAAGGAGCAGATCCCCTGGACCCTCATTGACTTCTACGACAACCAGCCCTGCATCGACTTGATTGAGGCTCGGCTCGGGATCCTGGATCTGCTGGATGAGGAGTGTAAGGTAAAAACGTCCACTTCCAGGCCTAGAATTCTTCAGCTTTGTATGAAACAGAACCAACAGAACCAGCATCCAGGTCAAAGGTTGCTCTGTCAAAATGTGTTTCAGGTTCCAAAAGGGACGGATCAGAACTGGGCCCAGAAACTCTACAAGCAGCACTCAAGCAGTGAACACTTCCAGAAACCCAGAATGTCCAACATCTCCTTCATCATTGTTCACTTTGCTGACAAGGTGAGCAGAACGGGTCATCCAGAACCAGTCAGTGGCTGAGACAAAGAAAGCAAACGTAAACAAACCAGGATCATCCTATAGCTGTTGTTCTTTCTTTTTTTCGATTGAAGACTAAAAATCAAAAAAAGGAAAAATTCTTAAATAACAAAAATGCAAACATTTGCTTTTCATGTTTTCCTTTTCAGTCACGGATCAAAAATGGGAAATGGAAAAATGGCCACTGGACCAAATTCGATTTGAATATTTAGTTTGTCGGGTTCGTGAGGACAGGTGCTGTACCGATGTAGGCTACATGAACAATAAAGCTCATGTTTACACAGACGTGAGGATCCTGTTAGGGAAATACGAAGCCCTCGAGTCAGGTGGGAAATCTTCTATGTAGGAACAATTAGTTTATGACTTTAAACGCACAGATACATAATCTGTTGCTGTGGCAACACCTAACACAATCGTTTCCTCTGCATGGGGAGTGTGCACTGGGCTGGGAGCACAGATCCAGTGGGCCGCACTTCACTTCCAACAAACTAGACGTGGAAATATTTTAGAATAGTTGTGTAATGTTACTTTATCATTCAGTCAGTGGGTGACAACAGAAAGTGCTACATTTGTTATCCTCATGTTGGACCGCTCGTTATTATGTCAACAAGCTGAGACGTCTCCTTTAAGTGAGGGTAATCATGTCAGCTCCGTTCATATAAACGACAACACTCAATAAACCAGGTTCTCTACAAGTAAACAGCTGTGTTGGTTTCCAGACGTCCCATTAGCTCTGATTGTTAGCATCGCCGCTAGTTCAGTCTGACTGCCTGAAACCAAACCCACCTGAAAACAGCTGACTACTTTATTCTAGTAAAATGCATTTCTGTAGCTAGATGGACAACACCAGTACATTATATGAAATAGGGATGTGTATTGATGCGATTCTGGCGATACAATACGTATCACGATACGGGGTAGACAATACGATATGTATCACGATACAGGGGTGTTGATACGATACGTATCAATACAGGGGAGATATTAAGATATGTATCACAATACAGGGGAGACAATACGATACGTATCATGATACAGGGGAGTTGATACGATACGTATCACAATACAGGGGAGACAATACGACACATATCACGATACAGGGGAGTAATGCGATACGTACCACGATACGGGGGAGTTGATACGATACATACCACGATACAGGGGAGTTGATACGATATGTATCACAATACAGGGGAGACGAAACGATACGTTTCACCATACAGGGGAGTTGATGCGATACATACCACAATACGGGGGAGTTGATACGATACGTACCACGATACAAGGGAGTTGATACGATACGTGTCACAATACATGGGAGACTAAACGATACGTTTCACGATACAGGGGAGTTGATGCGATACGTTTCACGATACAGGGGAGTTGATGCGATACGTACCACGATACAGGGGAGTTGATGCGATACGTACCACGATACAGGGGAGTTGATGCGATACGTACCACGATACAGGGGAGTTGATATGATACGTATCACAATACAGGGGAGACGAAACGATACGTTTCATGATACAGGGGAGTTGATGCGATACGTACCACGATACAGGGGAGTTGATACGATATGTTTCATGATACAGGGGAGTTGATGCGATACGTACCACGATACAGGGGAGACATTACGATATATTGCGATACTTTCAGCCAGATCATATTAGTGATTATTTTAGACTGAATTATTAGTAAAATTCAATTAACAATCCAAACTGATACGTAAGATGTTTAACATGAGGTACCTGAACCATAACAAGAGGGATTTACATTTCAGTGGTGGAAACGAAACCCATTGCACACTGCTGCCAACTAGTGGTCGGCATTGGAGTTACACCTAAAGAAAAAAACACAAATGTTTGTGGGTAAATTCTTCCAAAAATGTGATACGCGGCTTTTGAGTATCGATATAATATCGCAGGGAAAATTATCTGGATATATTGCCTTATCGATATTTTCTTACTTCCCTACTATGAAACATAAATGTGAAACAATAACTGAATTATGTTAATCCCAGAATTATTCATAACTCTGACTAATCCAGATTTAAAGTGATTTTCAGTCAACTAAAACGTAGAAAGTTTAAAAAATGCTTTCACACGTGTCCACACACAGGTAAAAGTATTAAAACAGACCGAGCCTGCTCAGTAAATGGTTGTGTGCATTAAAACAAGACTTTGAAAACATAGAAACGGCAACTAACTGCAGGGATGTAAGCACCTAAAAGGTTTGCTAGAGCAGTGACGTTTCTAGAGGCTCACCGCTGCTGTGAGGATGCATCTGGGCATGTAGACTCCAGGATGCAGCAAGAGGGTCAAGACAGATGTGTGATGATGTGTGAGCTAGCAGTAACATGTCACTAGGCACCAAAACCAATGGTGAGAAAATCTTCATCAGTTTACAGCTGATGAAGCTACGCAGACAAAACAGCAACAAAGTGAGCAACAATTTTAATGACAGGTCTAATCCCCAGCATCCGGACAGCTGAGCTCCAGATGTGTTCATGGTTACAGTGTCTGGGTAGCATCTGGATAGAACGTAGAGCTTTCTGTTGTCACCCACAGAACAAACCGTAAAGTAACACTCGTCTTTCAGTTTTTTTCGTTTCATGTCCAGTTAGCTGGACTCCCGATGCCGTTGTGTGGAGCTGCTCTTCCTGTCCCGTGTGTGCTCCTGATGCAAACACACATTCCTTCTGGGACACCTACATCAGCACAACACCTGTAAACCCAAACCCTGGGGCGACGGTGGCACAGGAGTTAAGTGCTCGCCCCGTAAGCGGAAGGTTGCAGGTTCGAGCCCCGCTCAGTCTATCACTGTCGTTGTGTCCTTGGGCAAGACACTTAACCCACATTGCCCGCTGGTGGTGGTCGGAGGGACCGGTGGCGCCAGTGCTCGGCAGCCTCGCCTCTGTCAGTGCGCCCCAGGGCAGCTGTGGCTACATTGTAGCTCATCCCCACCAGTGTGTGAATGTGTGTGTGAATGGGTGAATGACTGATTGTGTTGTAAAGCGCCTTGGGGGGTTCCAGGACTCTAGAAGGCGCTATATCAAATACAGACCATTTACCATTTACCATGAAATGTTAAAATCGAAATCAGTCCGGCGGCTGTTTTTCCATTTTTGATCCGAGACAAAAATAAAATGACAATAAAAAAAAGACGTTTTGTGTTTTTGTACCAGTTTAAAAAAAACAAAGACTTCTTCATTTTTTGATTTGAAAATGGAAAGAAGGAAAGGTACACGGATGATCAGGCGAGCTGCAGTGAGCAGACCGTCCATCAGAGGGCAGCACAATTCTGACTTCTGACCAGCAGAAGAACCAAAGTTCTGCTTGGTTTGGAAGGTTCTGGGCACAGTTTGGCTGTTCGTTTCTTAAAACAGAACCATGGCTTAACTAAACCAGGCAGAACCCAGAGCCAGGTGGGACTTGGGTCCAATTAAAGTACCAACCGGATGTAAATGGGTGGGTGGGGGGGGTCGTTCACTGTTGTTCCAGGGTTTGTGACCCGTTTGAGCATCTGACAGAACCTTCCTCGGGTTTGGTTTGTTGCTACAGGTGGAATATCTGTGCGACGGGTTCTTGGAGAAGAACCGAGACACCGTCTACGAGGAGCAGATAAACATCCTGAAGGCCAGCCAGGTAGGAACCAGAACCAGAGTCTGGATCAGTGACGTCATATCGACTGTCTCTGACCTCAAACAGCTTCTGTGTTCTATGACAAAGAAATGATCTTCTGCTTTGTACTTCATCTGCGCCGTTTTATATTCAGTTAAATCATGAAATTTCAGGGTTTTCAAACAAAAAGTTTTTTGGTTCCATAGTTTGATTGATTTATAATTCTCATTGCTCTTTTTTGCATCTTAAAAACAGGAAGACTAGTTTTATATACATTGCCCCATACCTCTAAACAGTAAGTCACATATAGAGAGCAACGGAGAACACGTAAGCATATATGATATTTATTTTCATTGCTTAGTTTTGTAAAAACTTGCAAAGATTTTAGACATTTTTACGTTCACATGAATTATCCTCGACACGTGACTTCTGTGGCGAACAGAACAGGTATAAAAGTCATCAGTTATAGAGGGACAGGTTCTGATTCTGCAGGCTTGCTTTTTTAGGGATGCACTGAGGCCTAGTCCACACGTAGCCAGGTAAAAAAAAAAAAAGAATATCCGCCCCTCCAAAAACTTGCATCCACACCACCTCGTTTAAAAAAAACTCTGTCCACACGTACCCGGATAAATACGTTGCTAAGGACATGCCAGACCTGTAGGCGGCAGTACTTCCCCCGTTCTTAACCTCGTCCTTCGTCTGTGGTCTTCCGCAAGGAGCAGTAATTCCGCTTGCAAAAACAAACAAGCAAAAAGCGCTTGGACAATTGATAAAGCGAGCGCAGCTCTGAGGGCATCCATGCTGTCTGCAAGTGTAAACACAGGTCGCACACGTGATGTCAGCATTTTTTTGTCGCAGAAAGTGACGTTGCGGACCTTAAAACTCCGGTTTTGTCTGTCCACACGCAGACACCCAAAATGGAAAAAACGCAGATCTTCACTTTGGCCGGAGTTTTTAAAAAGATCTGTTTTCGTGTGAAAAAACTCCGTTTTCGTTTTCGGATGACAGGCCAAAACGTAGAACAATATCTACGCTTTGGCAGATCCCCGGCTACGTGTGGACAGGGCCTGAAATATAACTTCTTCAGCGAAAAGGAGGAACCCAAGGCCAAAACCCGAAACACTGAGGCCCTGTCAATAATTAGAGCCCCAGCATTTATGGCTATGATGTGTACTAGCCTCACTAAAATCAAGGCATTGCAATACATCAGTTACAAAAGCATGAACATGTTCATTTAGCACTGACAACAATAATAATAAACACAACAAGTAATAAATGTACCAGCTGATAACCGAAAGCCCTGCTGAGACCAACGGTGGAGTTGAATCTGTTCTCTAGTGAAAACATGAGCCTCCTGAGTTTCTGTGTGGGACTACTACTGAAGACCAGACCGAGTGCTGCTGGCTGGTATAACAAGATGTTCTTGATGAAGAAGAGCATTTCTCCTTCGTCACACAAATCTGTTCCTCTTCTCGTCGAGGACACGAGCGGCAGCGCTGAAGTCTCACGGTCCGTTCTTCACCGACGTGGAGCAGCAGCAGCAGCAAGGGCAAACTGTTATGAGTGTGTTGCAGCTCCGTGTTTCTGTAAAAATCATTTTTTTTCATGAATTCGACGTTTCTAAGGCATCGCAATCAAAATCACCGCTTTTTGGGGTTCAGAGGACACCGCCATGTTGGATTTCTGTTTTCTAAATGCGGCGCATTAACGATCACGTGAGAGCCGATCGCTTCTTTTCACGTGTCTGAGCAGAACCTCCCTGAACCGTCTACAGGTGGTTCAGAACGCCTGTGCTCGGCTTCTGACCAAGTCCTCCAAACACACCCACATCACCCCGCTTCTCCTCCAGCTTCACTGGCTGCCAGTCAACTTCAGGGTTCATTTCAAGATCCTGGTTCTGGTCTATAGGGCCTTACATGGACAAGCACCATCTTACATTGGTGATCTTCTCAGTCCCTACACCCCCAGCAGGTCCCTGAGGTCCAGTGATCAAAGCCTACTGGTTGTGCAGCACCAGGCTAAAGGTCAAAGGTGACAGATCATCTGCTGCTGTGGCCCCTAGACTCTGGACCTCTCTCCCCCTGAGCCTGAGATCAGTGGACTCAGTGGTCTCCTTTAAAACTCACCTGTTCAGGTTTGCTGGGACCTTCATCACCTCCCTCTTTTCCCTCCTTCATATTCACTCTCTCTCTCTCTTAGCAATTTTAAACAAAATTGTCCTTTTTTACTTATTTTAAACACATTTTTAATCATTTCCCAAAATCCTTTTTATATTTGAAGTTTTTGTTTTAGTGAAGCGCCTCATTTTTATTTTGAGAGGCGCTATAGATAATATCATTTTCTTTCTTTCTTTCTTTCTTTCTTTCTTTCTTTTTTTCTTTTTTCTTTCTTTTTTTCTTTCTTTCTTTTTTTCTTTCTTTCTTTCTTTCTTTTTTTCTTTCTTTCTTTCTTTCTTTCTTTCTTTCTTTCTTTCTTTCTGCTCAAAACAAACAAGTCTTTTGAGGTTTGTGACTAGATGAAGTCGCCTCCCTCATCAGTCTCAGCTGTTCATTCATTCATGACGGGTGAAAATCCCGTTTCATTTTGGGGGACATTAAGAAAATGACGGTCTCCTGCTGTTTTGGGCCTCCAGCATGAGCCAGGTGACTGAAAAACCAGCTGATCAGAGGTAGATGTCAGCATATCAGTAAATGACAGAGTACAACTCCACATCCTGTCGTTGTCTTCTCCAACTAACTTCCTGTTCCTGAAACCGGAGCAGCAGAGCTTTTATATAGTTTTATACTGGAGACCAGTGCAGACGTGCTGGAATAAACCGGTGAAGTTGTTCTTTCAATAAATAATGTTGGAAAAGGTGATGTCCTACAGCCATCTACCGTAATTCCTCTAATACAGGCCCTGGGCCTTTATTTACTCAAGTGCATCCTGGTTCAGGCCTTTATTGGAAGGAGGCCAGAATAAGAGGCAGGCCTCAATCTCAATATGGGCTAAATAAAGTACCAGTAGAAGGAATATAAACACGATTTTGTGTCTATTTGATTCTATAAAACACGAGGTTCGTTTATTGAAAATGTACAGTTAACATTGTACGCACGTATGCCTGTAGAACATTTCCATAAACACCGTTGTTCCGCTGGAGGATTTACCTAGCTGAAGCTAACTGTGGTGTGTGGTAAATCTCGCTGCAAACCAAAAGGCTTTTACGAGTCTGACAGCCTACAACTATTTTATTTCAGGTTGGTTAACAATTTAGAGACCCAGAGAAGCTTTAAATGACAGTTTATGCTTGTGAGATGTGCTATTTTAATTACGTAATTAACTGGTTAGGATAGCTAATGCTAACAGTGAGTATGTGCTAGGAGCTACTTCTAACTAATATTTTATGCCTTTTTAAATCCAAATTTCTGGTACATTTGTTAGATTTTATCAAGTTATTAATGCTACGTTACAACACTAAGCTAACTGCTAAAACTACTAGCACTCTACAAGCTATTTGCAGTGAGGACACGTGAAAACAGACGAGCTGCAGCTGCATGCGGGACTTTTTACTGGGAAATTAACGAAATTCAGCATAGAAAAGAAGTTTTTCTGCACCTGGTCAACAGGTGGTGGTTACTAACTCACTGTTTCTCTCCTCCTGGTTGCTCCCACCTCCAGGAGCATCGGAGCAGCTTGTGGGCCGTACCAACGTGAGGATTAGGGGAGGGGGAGTCGTAATGTTTAATTCTCTTTGGTTGTGCTCTGCTCTCATTGGACAATGCTGTATCACTGTTAAATATGTTTATAAGCTCCATCTTTTTTGGGGGACCAGAGGGGGACATGCCCCCCCCCCCTCCCCGCTGGGATTTTTGCCCATGATTCATGACTTTCTGTAGAGGGCCTTCCTGGGCTTGGCTCCATCTCATCTCCATACAGTCCTTCACAGGACCAGGCTTTACGGTAATGTTCCATCTGCAGTTTCCTTTGGTTCAGGGAGCTCCTGTAACCGAAGGTAGAGTCCTCTCCTCGTCCGTAGCCAGATGTTCAGGTGTCTACACCTGTGCTGATCCACTGCCTTTGTTCTGTGTGATGTGTGCTGATGATCTTAAACTGGCTTTGGGTCGTAAACCTTCATGTTGGGTTCCAGTTCCAGCTGGTGGCAGACCTGTTCCAGGACAAAGACGGTGTGTCCTCCTCCAAACCGTCCAAGGTGAATATCCGCGCCCTGAAGACGGTCCCTAAAGCTCCCAACAAGGAGCACAGGAAGACCGTGGGACACCAGGTGGGTGTTTGGTTCTGCTCACACTGTTGACTTCCTAGTTCTGGTTCTGATCCGTGCGTCTGTTTGTTCCAGTTCCGATCATCTCTCCAGCTGCTGATGGAGACCCTGAACGCCACGACGCCTCACTACGTTCGCTGCATCAAACCCAATGACTACAAGGAGGCCTTCTCGTGAGTCCGCCGCCTCGTCTCTCCTGAGTCAGGGTCCTGGTTCTGACCCAATCCAATCAGAACAAACTGCTATGTTTGGAGGAGTGGGTTAGGGTTAAACAGGAATTTATTTTTAAATAAACGTTTTATTGTAAACTTGATAAAAAACTGAGCAGAAACACTATTTTAATGCAAACTATCAGAGGTTTGCTGACGTGTGAACTCGAAAGTCTAATGAGGCTTTTATTCAGACGCCTCTGCCTCGCTGTACTCTCATGCTGCTGCGGTCCCGGTGCACCATCAGACCGCTACGCCTGCCGGCTCCTCCCACAACAACATCCATGCATGCCATGTTTGACGCCTCTGCCGAATTGTCCACCATCATCTTACAATCAGCATGTCACGGCTGCAAGCCTTGAGTGAAAAGCAGGAGCCAGGATCACCCAGCCCTAGTGATCAGCCTGACACCACCCCTCCTCCTCCTCCTCCTCTCTCAGGCTGCTGAGGAGCACAGCTGAGCCCAATCTTACCAACACCTGTATCAAAAGGCTGTTCCTTCAGCAGTCTGGGAGGCAGCAGTGCAGGGGTTCTGCTGTCCTCCAGGTTTTGTTTGGTTTCAACCCCTGTCGTATGGATGAGTTTTTACTTTTTAGTCTAAAGTCTTTTATGATCCAGAGGGTTTTAAAGGTTAACTTGGTTTGGTGCAATTTTACTGACTTCGGTTTTAAACACCTTCGTTGCGGTAAAGCTTTTAATATAAGTCTTTACCAGGTGTTTTTATAGTTGATAATTTGTGATGTTAACCTTTTAGAGAGATCAGTTATCTCGTTTTTAGAACCTTTTTCAACAATTAAACCATTTTAATATCCACTGTCCAGTTCTTATGTTATCCCCGTCCTTCACATTTTACCAACACGTCGGGGACGTAACACAGCATCATAACTGTGCCTTGGTAGGAAGCTCTTTAACTCGCCCCACTTTCGGTGCACTCTGCTCCGGACCTCTCTCTTCTCCTGCTGAGAACACGCAGCCTGGCGCCCCCTGCTGGTACGGGCGTATAACGACCCCAGACAAACATCAGCATGTGTGAATGCTCACCCCGGCTTTCCACGGGAGCCGTCAGTGGCACGTTACTAAAGCAGCACGTCTTGCTCGCGTAAACTGCTGCTTGGCCCTTCCCACGAGACGCGAAGCAGCAGGGGAGCAGCTGTCACTGACCGAGCACGAAGTCACATGAGTGACTTCGTCGGTAAACACAACAACAAGCAGGAGAAAACTACAACATGGTTTGTGTTTTATGTTCTGTCCGTTTTATAATCGCCAATACGGACCTGAAAAACAAAGGAGACCGCTAGCTAGGTGATAACTTCTCACGGGGCCGCACATTTAGTAACTTGTTTTAAAAGTAAAGCAACGGAAGGCAGTATGTTTCTTTATTCTGAAAATCTCTGGAGCTTCTCTCCATTTCCGCGTCCGATTTCCTGTCTTTACTTCCCCAAAAATGTCGAACTTGACCCGTTTCAGAGGCGTCGCGCGTATAAAATAGAACCGGCGCGTAAAGGCCGCAACATGCTGCTCCTGAGACGCGACCGACTCGCGCTGCTGACGGCTCCAGTGGAAAAGGTTCTGTTGACCACAGCGGTTCCTATCAGCAGCTATGACGTGCTGCTGCAGTAACGTGCTGCTGACGGCTCCTGTGGAAAGCCGGGGTCAGACCCCCGTTATAAGACGACTCCACATTTAAAATGATTTTCATTGAAAAAACCTGGTCCTATAATCGGGTCAGTACGGTATTTATTAAATCACGACTCGTGAAACATTAAACGTCTAGAATTGTAGACGCTGTTGCAGATTGAGTTTGTTTTAGGTCAGGATTGAGACTCTAGAAGGATTTTCATTTGAAGCGGCAGCAGAACGTGAGGACCAGAGCTGCAGGTAAACCTGGATGTCCTCACAGACCAGAGTTTGCTAAAATAAACAATAAATGATGAACAATCTGCTTCTAGACCTGCGGAAAGAGAGCAGGAAGGAAGGAACACATTTTAAAAGGTTTGTGTTACAAGCCAATTTACCGGGCTAGCTCCACTCTTCTAGATGTTATTAAATCTCAGGGTTTGGCTTGTAATCGGTGTAATGAGCGTGGCATCTAGTTACCAACAAACACCCTTACATTGTAGAGAGTTGATTAGCAATCACCAAATGACCCAGGGCATCTAATTCTGACAAAGTTACCTTTATGTAGAAATAAGGAGGC